ATGCAGTGGCTCATCCTGTCCAAGCAACATGTTCTTTTGCGAGTTTTCCTCAAGAGCATGTAGTCTTCATCAGCAATCTGGATCAAGAGTACGTCCCAAAGACTTATGAAGAAGCCATGGAACATGAAGAGTGGAGAGAGTCAGTTGGAGATGAGGTTGGTGCCATGATCCGAAATGGTACTTGGTATGAAACCGAACTTCCTAAAGGCAAGAAAGCTGTGACCAGCATGCTACTCTTCACCATCAAATATCTTGCTAATGGAAAACCAGAAAGGAAGAAGACAAGACTGGTTGCAAGAGGGTACACTCAGGTCTACGGAGAAGACTACCTAGATACCTTTGCACCAGTAGCTAAGCTGCATACTATAAGGATTCTTCTCTCTCTTGCTGTGAACTTGGAATGGGATTTATGGCAGATGGATGTCAAGAATGTTTTTCTTCAAGGAGAGCTTGAAGATGAGGTTTACATGAAGCCACCTCCGGGTATGGAAGATATGGTCAAGCCAGGAAATGTACTTAGATTGAAGAAAGCAATATATGGATTAAAACAGTCACCAAGAGCCTGGTATCACAAACTGAGCACAACTCTCAATGGAAGAGGGTTTGTAAAATCAGAAGCTGATCATACTCTTTTCACCCTCACAAGCAAGCAAGGAATTATCGTGATACTGATCTATGTGGATGATATTATCATCACAGGAAGTGACAAGGAAGGTATCATCTCTACTAAAGTTTNAATATACAAGCAATGCTTTCAAACATCACTTAACAAAACATGGGATTATCCATCAAACAAGCTGTCCTTACACACCCCAACAAAATGGAGTAGCTGAAAGGAAGAATCGCCATCTTATGGAGGTTGCAAGGAGCATGATGTTTCACACCAATGTTCCTAAGAGATTTTGGGGAGATGCGGTGGTATCAGCTTGCTATCTCATAAATAGAATCCCCACCAAAGTTCTCCAAGATGTCTCTCCCTTTCAGGTATTAAACAAAATTAAACCTCCAATTGATCATCTACGTGTGTTTGGTTGTGTTTGTTATGTCTTGACACCAGGAGAAATGAGAAACAAGCTAGAAGCCAAGAGTGTCAAGGGCATATTTATTGGATACTCCCACACGCAGAAAGGTTATAAGTGCTACATTCCTGATTCAAGAAGAGTTATGGTCTCAAGGGATGTTAAGTTTGTGGAATCTGAGGGGTATTATGAGGAGAAGAGTTGGGAAAATCTCCAAGATCTCTCACAAGGACCCTCTGATAGGGCAAACAACTTGAGAATTATTCTGGAGAATCTTGGCATCAGTCAACCTCAAAGCAGTGAAGTGCCAAGGGCTTCTTCCTCACCGGCATCTGCTGAAAGTAATGAAGAAGCAACACCAGTTGTTGAAACTAGTCATCTTGATCTTGAAGGGGGCAATGAACATGAATTACAGCCACAAGAAATAGATGATTTAACAAGCACGCATGATCAAGATGAATCTGAAATTGACCAGTCTATTGAAGACCAGGTTAATGAAGTCCAAGGGCAGGAAGAGGTAGAGTTAGAAGGGCAACAAATTCAACCATTGAGAAGGAGTACAAGAGTGAAGAAACCATCTCAGTGGGTTGATACCAAAGTGTAC